ATGGTCTCATATGTATTATATTATGTAGCCCAGATAAGGGGTGTCAGGTCCCCTAGGCAGATCATTTAAACCTTTCAGGAAGGACTTCTATTGAGCTTTCTAGCAATACTTGATGCTAAATTTTTAAGGATTGATATAGGTCGCGCCCATTAGGCACGACTTTAAAAGCTATCTTGCCCGAGGAGATACCAAGTCCTTTGAGCGAAAGTTTTTCTGCTATGGGGATTCTAAGCTCCTCGTATATTATATCACGTAGTCCGACTAGGGGATGTCGAGTCCCTTAGGCAGATCCTTTAAACCTTTTAGGAAGTACTTCTATCGAGTTCTCTAGCAAGACTTGACGCTAAGTCTCTAGGGCTTGATACAGTTCGTGCCTATTAGGCATGACCTCAAAAGCTATCTCGCCCGATGAGATACTTAATCCCTCAGGCGGAATTTTTTTCTGCTTTGGGGATTCTAAGTCCATAATATGTGATTTTGGGATTGGTACCAATTTTGTTAAAATAAGTATCACAACAAGATGTTGAGCAAGATGTCTTGACATGTTGGTCAGACATTAATTGTAGTGATGTCACGGACGATGTCGTGACATGTTATACTATGGTTTACTTATTTAGAAGATTTGTTTTTAAAGTGTGAGATTCTATTTGGTTTTAGCTTACACTCTGTCACATTCCAAGAAGGGTTATGATAGAAACATCAGTTCTGTGCCAAAACAGCATTTATTTCATAAAAAATATCTTTAGGACTTTTTAGGAAACTTTATATTTTGTTCCTATTTTAATGTAGAAGTTTATGCAAAAGATTTGCAGCTGCTGTTTTGGGATATACATTTTATTTAGATGAAGAGCCCAAGTCCATGTTGATCTAAAGATATATAAAGAGTTATTCTAAACCTAATGAAGTATTGAAGTCGTGTATTGAAAGAAGAGTTTTAGGGTTTAGTGTGTTCTTTGTTCTCTGTGATCTACTCTTATATCACTTTCGTATCTGAGTTGGATTGCGTTCATTATTTATTTGTGAGCCATTCATGTACCTCTTAGGTGCTTGAATTATACTCTGTTTGAGTTATAATCACTCATAAGCTTTTAAGTAATAGTGGACTTTTGTGTCTTTGGAAGTGTGTCTTCTATTGTTCTTTGTTCTTGGTTTTATCACTGTTGTGTGATTGAAGGGAAGTAAGAGGGTCTTATATCTAAGAGTGTCTTAGATAGAAATAGCACGAGGCAGTGATTAGGTGAGAAGATTGTAAACTGAAGGTTGTTTACTTAGGCTTCAAACTAATACTATTATAGTGGATTACCTTCCTGGCTTGGATACCCCCAGATGTAGGTGATGTTGCACTGAGTTAACAAGTGACTGTGTTATTTACATTTCGCCATTTACTTTAACTGCATAATTGTTTGTGTTGTCATATTATCATGATCCCAGTGTCGTGACATCTTACTCAACATGTGGTGTCTAATTACCAGAATTTCAATTGGTATCAGAGCAGACATCCTGCTTTGTTTCTAGGTGAGATTTAGGGAAGATACTTTCTGGTACTATGGACAAGGAAGGAGGAGGAAATATTAACAGACCCCCCATTTTAGATGGCACCAACTATGACTATTGGAAGACTCGTATGGTAGCTTTCCTAAAATCTATTGACAACAAAACATGGAAAGCTATCATCAAAGGTTGGGAACATCCTGTTGTTAATGATGAAGATGGAAAGGAGACTCTGAAGACAGAAGAGGAATGATCTAAGGAAAAAGATGAAACTGCTCTTGGAAACTCCAAAGCCTTAAATGCCTTATTCAATGGAGTTGACAAAAACACGTTTAGATTAATCAACACCTGTATTGTGGCCAAAGATGCGCGTGAAATTCTCAAAACCACTCATGAAGGCACATCTAAGGTGAAAATGTCTAGACTTCAACTTCTCACTACCAGATTTGAGAATCTAAAGGTGAAAGATGATGAAAGCATCCATGGCTTTCACATGAATATTCTTGAACTAGGAAATTCCTTTAGTGCTTTGGGAGAAAAGATGTCAGAATAAAAGCTGGCCAGGAAGATTCTCAAGTCTTTTTCCAAGAGATTTGTCATGAAGGTCACAACCATTGAAGAAGCCTAAGACATAAGCAAACTAAGAATGAATGAACTTATTGGATCACTTCAAACTTTTGAACTAGCTATGAGTGAAATATCTGAAAAGAAGAATAAGAACATAACTTTTACTTCCAACATCAATGATGAAGAGAGTCAACTTGATTTGAACACTATTGAAGGAATCTCTAATACTATAGTGCTTATTGGGAGACAATTCAATAAAGTGCTGATAGGTATTGATAGGAAGTCTATACCAAATGTCAAGAACATCTCATATGACATCAACAAGAACAATGATGTTTAGATAAAAGCAAGAACAGTGGAGAAGCCAAATCAAGGTAGAAGCATCCAGTGTCATGAATGTGAGGGTTTTGGTCACTTTAGACCAGAATGTCCAACATACTTAAAGAAACAGAAGAATGAGTTGACTACTTCCTGAACTGATGAGTCTGAAGGTACAACTGATGATGAAATTGCTAATTTCTTACCTATCGACGCTTTTAATGCTCATTTGCCTCCCCAACAAATGCTATTAAACTTTAATTTGGATAAGTGGAAAAGCAGGAGTGAGCTCCAGCGCGTCCCAGATTCTCCAATAAATAATGACCTTGATTAATATGTTGAACAAGAATGTCATATATTTCTATATGCTATTGATACATGCTTGTTTGTTTAGTTTATACTTTTCTTCATTGCACATTTTTAAATTATTCTTCTTTTATATTTTCTATAATATTCAAAACACATGACAATTATAAATTATTCAAACGTTAAAAAATATTTAGTATGTTTTTGGATTGGAGGTGGACAAAATTGATTTTGAAAGAATTAAGTTTGATAAAATTGATTTTAAGAGAATTGAGTTTAGTAAAATTGATTTTAAGAGAATTGAGTTTAGTAAAATTGATTTATGTTTGGATACATCTATCTAAAAGTGAGTCGAACAACAAATTTCAATATAAAAGTTAGGTTTGAACCCATAAACTACAAATTCTATTTTTAAGTTGAATCAATTATATAATCAGAATCAATTATACTTTAAAAGAAACAAACACCTAAAACTCACTTCAAAATTAATTTTACACATCTAAAATTATTTTTATCTCTTTCAAAATTCAAACCAAACATCATTAGACTAGTAAATATATATCAACTAAGGATCTATGATTTTTTTTAAACAACCAAAAAGATATATCATAAAAACAACACAAGAAATGTAGACATTCTCTAATACATGATAAATTGCAATAAAAATGCAGAAAAAACACACCAAAAAATATCAAATGAATAAACACTTAAATAGAATAGTTGATAAACAACACCATTACCACCACAAGTCTAAATTTGAGACGATTCATTCAAAAGATGATAGCAAAACAAAATTAATAGACAAATCATCCTAAAAACTCAAATAATCCTTATACACCCCTCTGATTAAATAGCAGCACCTAAACAAGTTCATAATCAATCCTCTCAATAATTGGACGAAGAGAATTATCTCCACCGAATTTGGTAAATTTATTATTTAAGTTGAGTTTTAGATTAATATTTCAAATTTCTTTGTTGGAAGGAAATTTTTTTACCAGCAACATTCATGCAAACCCCTAGTGCTTTTTCTTTTTTCCCTTTCGTTTTCTATTCGCATCTGTTTTTTATCGCCCTAGTTATAGAGGATAATGATATTGCACTTCGGGGGTCCATATATTTAATGAGTAACAGTTGTTAGGACACATCACATCTCTTTGGCCAAACATTCCAAACAATTTTAATAAAAAAATCACACATAATTAATTCCACGGTAAAATTGGTTGAAGTGATCAGAAAAAAGTTCTTGAAAAGTTCACCAGAGTCAGACAACAAGATGAGTTATCAAAACAACCACAACTACAATCAATATCAAAAACAACCTTACAAGAGTTTAACCACAAGTCGAAAACACAAAAATTCCCATAACTCAAAGTAACGTAATTGATGAGTCAAACCAAGCGCATTAATTACACACCGCCATTGCATAAACCATGAACATCCCAATTAACTTGTGGGAATTAATCGCTTAATTAATATTAATATTAAATTAACGTCATTTGCCTACTTCTTCTAGCTGTCACGTAATGCGATATTGTTTCCATATAAATATATTTTAGGTAAAATGTCTAAAACATTATGCTTCATCCTCTTTAGAATATCACCCCTAGAAAATAGAATAAAATAACATAGATGGCTGAAAAGCAGAATAAAATACCTTTTTCGTGTCACATGAATATATAACCCCAAACCCAACTTTCCCATTTTAAAAAACCCAAGAATTGGACCGTGTTTTCGGCGTTGAACAAAATTGCCTTGTGGACCCCACATTGGCTGGCTCCCACTAACCACGTGCTTCTGCTCGCATTTCAGATTTTTTTTTAAATTCACACAATCATCATAGGATTAAAATTAAAACGTTACTAATTACTATACTTAATTAATCTATCAGTTTAATTAATTAATCTTAATAAAAGAAAAAAAAAGGAGTAATTAGAGATGTACAAAATTGAACCAATCGTGAGTGAGCCGATGTCTACTTTCTTTCTTCACTTCTTCTGAGTGATGGTCAGAGTTCCACACTTTCTCTCTCTACTTTCTCTCTCTAGCTTGATAGGGATCTCATTACTTTTTGAAACGAAATTACCAAAAAAAATAATAAACAGTGTTTTGTTACATCTGAACCAAGTCCATTTTCGTTTTTCATTTCCATGTGCTTCAGTTTTTTTTTCAACTAGGGTTTTCACTTTCCTTTACGCAACTCAACTCAACTCGAATTCAACTCAGTTCAACTCATGTTACCTAATTATTGATTATACATAATTGATTTGATTCTCTATCTTTCTCTTCGATTCGATTAGATTTTTTTAAAAATTGTATTAATGGAAGAACTGAAGTTGGAAACACCGGCGACCATGACTGTGACGGTTTCGGAGACGGATGCGAAGTTAGTCGAAGCTCCTACAAAAGTTGTTGCTGATGTTGATGTTAAGATGACGGAGAAAGACAGTGGTTTTTCTGCGCGTAAAGTAGTTCTCGCGGTTGCTGCCGCGGATAGTGATGTTTTGACGAAGAAGCGGAGTCGTCCTCCGATGATGGAAATTCTGAAAGCAGCCCTTCCGCCGAAACAGAAGCAAAAGCAGAAGGCGAAAAAAGAAGACGAGGATGTTTGTTTTATATGTTTTGATGGAGGAAGTCTCGTTCTCTGCGATCGCCGGTGAGTGAATGATGATTGAAATTGCAATTGTGATTGTAAGGGTTAAAGATTGTTTCAGCTTGATGGTTAAAAATGGAATGATTTGGAACTGGTCTTTGAATTTTCAATTTTCAGTTTTCAATTATTGATTTTTTGTTTTTTAGATTCTTTTTTGATTGGCTTTTAGCTTGCAATTAAAGTTGCCCATGCGTTATTCAGTTTCAATCATTATCATCACTGTTTTCTAGTAGTATTTTATTTTATTTTTTCTATCTTTTTCTTCTAATGTCCAGGGGCTGTCCTAAAGCATATCATCCGGCATGTGTCAAGAGAGATGAGGCGTTCTTCCGTTCAAAAGCCAAATGGAATTGCGGTATTTTACTTGTTTTGGTTTAGTTATTGGTTTCATTTATTAATAATTAACATGCAATTGGATTTAATTTAGCTATAACTCTATGCACGAGTCATTCTTTGTGTTTTTGCTTGGAACATTTGCACGTATGTTGTAGATTGTATATAATCTACTCAAAATTCTCTCTTAAGCTAATCTACTCAATATTCTCTGTTATGCTATTCAAATATTATATTTTGAGGCAAAAATTTGACAACAAAGTTTATGGTCAGCACAATTCAAATATGTTAAACACAATCTAGTAGATTGTTACTAAATTTTAGGTGCCATGACTCATTAATCATCCACCGAACACAATTTAATAGTGTGAGTTTGACATTTGTTGATTTGCCAATTAGCACTCATTCCTTATTTTGAGATATCTATCGCCTAGATTTGTTTTGGATTTTAATATTTTATTATGCATTGAACAAAGCCACAGCTTTCCTTTAATAGACATTGATTTTGCGTTGCTCAGGTTGGCATATATGCAGTTCGTGTCAGAAAGCATCACATTATATGTGCTATACTTGTACGTATTCTTTGTGCAAGGGGTGTATACAAGATGCTGATTTTGTTTGTATTAGAGGGAATAAAGGTTTGTGTGGAATGTGCAAGAAAACTATAATGATGATTGAGAACAGTGCCCAGGGAAATAAGGAAATGGTATGCCTATCTTTCTTATTTATGCTGTTACTTTCAATAGTGTTCCGCATTCTCTCTCTTTCTCTCTCATATGTGCTGGAAGAGAGGGAGGGCTTGATGTTGAGTAAATGATACATGATGGTATAATTGTATTGACCTATGCTACTTTTACAGTGTGAAGTGGATTTCGATGACAAGACCAGCTGGGAGTATCTTTTCAAGGTGTATTGGGTATATTTGAAAGCAGATTTATCTTTAACATTTGATGAGCTGCTTCGAGCTAAAAACCCATTGAAAGATGCTGCTCCTGTGGTTCAAACTTCCCATGAACTTTATCATCTTAATAAAGACGACAAAGGTTCTGGTTCTGAGAACTCCTGCATAGACATAGAATCAAATAATTTGAAAAACAAGAAGTCTAAGGGACCTTCAAGTGGTGACACGGGTGTGTCTCTGCCTGAATGTGCTAGTTGGGCATCAAAGGAGCTTCTAGAGTTTGTCTCACATATGAGAAATGGTGATACATCTCTCTTGTCTCAATTTGATGTACAGAATCTCTTGCTGGAGTATATAAAGAAAAACAATCTGCGTGATCCTCAACAGAAATCCCAAATCGTTTGTGACTCTAGACTAGTAAATTTGTTTGGAAAAGCACGTCTTGGCTACATTGAAATGCTAATGCTCCTTGAACCCCACTTCCTTGTAAAAGACAATACCCGTGCAGAAAATACTCTTGGAGCAGGAGTTAGTGATGCTGTTGCTAATGAAAAAGAGACCATGGACAATTACAATAAACAGCCGATATTAGTTAATGATAAGAGAGGTTCAACAAGTAAAAGGGATGATGTGCCTATGCCACAAAATAATCAAGATGCATATGCTGCAATAAATGCTCACAACATTAACTTGATCTACTTGCGTCGAAGTCTGATGGAGAGTCTGACTGATGATACTGAAAAGATTCACGAGAAGGTCGCCGGTTCTTTTGTGCGGATAAGAATCTCTAGTGGTGATCAGAAACAAGATATGTATAGACTTGTCCAAGTTGTAGGTAATGTGAACTTTTATCACATCTGATACTTGGGCGAGTGTACATATTGTAAATTCCATGACATGAAATTTGTGTTGGTAACTAATTGCGCAGGTACAAGCAAGGTTGCCGAACCTTACAAAATTGGCACTAGAATAACTGATATTAAGCTTGAAATTTTAAACTTAAATCGGAAAGAGGTCATATCCATAGATGAGATTTCGAATCAGGAGTTCTCTGAGGTAAATAGGAAATTCCTTTATGCATGTTATTGACCTTTAAATTGTGTAGAGGAGTCAAGTTTTTTCCATGAGAGTTTGTCGATGATTAATATATTTATCCCATGTCCAGGATGAATGCAAGCGACTGCGTCAGAGTATAAAGTATGGGCTTTCAAAGAGATTGACCGTGGTTAGTGTGTATATATGTCAGCTTGAAGCTTCCATAGAGCATGCTATATTTTGTATTAGTTTACGAGGGCTGTTTTTGTTGATTGTAGGGAGAGATTCTGAACAAAGCGTTGACATTTCAAGAAATTAGAGTTAATGATGTAAGCTTCTATTATTTTTTATCTGTTTAATAATCTGACTTATGGTTCAGGAATCAGGATGAATGCTCATTTAATTGTAAGAAAACATCAATGTGTAGAAAATCCATACTGTAATTTAATAAAGTATCATGCCTAAATAATTGAAAGCCATGCCTTTTAACTGTTAGTTATTGCCAAATGCCATGTGAATTTAATTTGCGAAATGCTTAAAATAGAAACTCTTGAAATATTTTTCCCTTTTTTGTTATCATCAATGTCATCATTTACTATCGTTTCTTTAAAATTTGACTGCTGGTTTAATCTCCCCCTCTTTGATTGATGTAGTTGTTGGAAGCTGAGAAATTGCGGCTTAATAATCTTCGTGATAGAGCAAGCGAGAAGGGGCACAGAAAAGAATATCCTTTACCATTTACTTCTTTCCTCAATATGCTAAAATGTGGGTACTGAATAGTTCATAGTTTGATTCTACAACTATTGATCATTCATATGTGAAATGTTCGCTGATAAATGAACTTAAGTTTATACAGATTAAATCATTAGGGAAGCCTAGTTGATTGGTTGTTACAATCACAAGAAAAAACTGTATAGGCATATAGAGCAATTTGTTAATTTTTTTCTTTCTTTATTTCCGTCCTTCTAGTGCATCTTTAAATTATTTCTGTAGCTAGCTACATTTTTATTTACCGTGTTGTTCTTTAATTTATAACTGCTTAATACATGAATGAATTTACAATAACATGATTTGGTTTGCGATTTTTCAACTAAGAATTAGGCAGACATACAATAAATTTAACAAGGATATGTTCAGCAGTAGGTGGATAGGTCCATGTTAGTTGGTTTCTTGATGATTTTCTTTCCTGCTTATTCATTCATGTGCCATAGACATGATCAAGGTTCCTTGACCAAACTGCACGCTTAAAGAATGTGTGGAAAAGTTGGAGCTACTAAATTCACATGAGGAACGTCAGCGCAGGCTGCATGAAATTCCAGATATACACTCTGACCCCAATTTGGATTCATTGTATGAGTCTGATGAAGATGCAGGAGAGTCAGATGGCAATAAACAAGGTAAAATTCATTTGCTCCACTAACTTTGTTTTCAAGTATCTTTTAGCAGTTGTCCAGACAGTGCTTATCTCACGGTAACTATGATTATGTATATGCAGATGGCAATATACCTATTTTTTCCAGAATTTGGGACGGTGTTTTGAATGGTGTTGGGGGCAGAGCACGAGACTTGACCACAGCCAGTGACCCAATTGGAAATACATGCTTAGCAAAGAAGAATATTGACCCTAACGAAACTGCTGTTGATGATAGTGCTAATGTTGTAATAAAATCAGAAGTGTCTAGTGTTGCAGTGGACATTTCATCTCCACTTCCCTCTACAGGGATTGAGCAGCCATTTGATGATTTTATGAATGATAAATCATGGCATTATCAGGATCCATCTAGTAAGGTTCAAGGACCTTTTTCTATGTTGCAGCTGTATAAGTGGAATGCAAGTGGACATTTCCCTCCAGATCTCAGAATATGGAGGATAGATGAGAAACAAGCAAACTCTATATTGTTAAATGATGCACTTAATGGGAAATGCTCCAAAAATGTGCCATTGCCGCACAGCAGCCTATTGCTTTCTTTAGGAGCCAGTGTTGCATTGGGTGACAAAGAAAGCAGTCAGGATGGTGGGAGGAATTCAATGCAGAATGAAATTTCTGCAGCCAGCCGAATCATAGAACATACAATAGAGCATAAAGTGGACGATACTTCTACCCAGTCTAATGGTAAAGATGAATCTGTAAGGAGCAATGGATGGCATGACCAGTCACATGTACACCCTTTGCAACAACCAACCGTGTTTGCTGAGAAATTTAATGAGAATCATACCAACAAATTAAGTGAGAATCATGGGATTGAGAAAAACCCTGAAGATAATGGAAATTGTGGCTCGGACAGGATTTCTGGTGGTCAGAATCATCAGAAGCAATCAGATAGTGAAGACAACTCGGGGCAATCTTCGGGACAAAGCTGGAGACACCCTGATGTAAATATTTCTTCCAATTGCTTGGATTCCACATCTGCTCATGTTTCTGAGACAAGAATATCACCACTTAGACTGGGATTTGATTTGACCCGTCCGCCTTCCCCTTCAGCATGTAATACAATTACATGGCAGGCTATTATTGGTGAACCAGATGATTTTGATGAATCAGTCTCAGATCTTTTGGCAGAAGTCGAGGCAATGGAGTCACTTGGTGGCTTGGAATCTCCCACTTCAATTATGAAACGTAGCGAGGAATTGACTGATGGTTCTAAAAATCTTTGTCTCAGTTTTGCAGAGCTTAGCCCAATACTTGATGCAGGTAAGGGTGATGCATTAAGTTCCACATGTGATTTACAGTTACTATCTCAGTCCACAGTAGCAGAGGAGCCATTACAACAGGCTGATGTCCATCATCATCATCATCAAAGAATTTCAGGGGAGCTTTCCTCAAGAAATTCTAAAGTTGATGTGGGTTCAAACAACATTTGTGTTTCAAGTAATCAATGGGAGTCGGGCTCGGAAAATTCTTCTATTTTTCCATCCACTGAAACATTGGGCATGACCGTTGACACCACTTGGAGACTTGGTTTGGAGAGTAGTACACACTTGGGATGGGGAGGAATGGAACAGCGAAATGCAAACACAAGCTGGGGAGTAGGACAGACGGCAGTGCACGAGAACAGAAGCTCAAGTTCATGCACTTCTGTAGTAACTCCAAGCTTTGGGGATAGCCAGACAAGATACGGGAGTGATCGGTTTTCTGTGCCCAGAGATCGGGGTTTTCCAGGTCATGGTAGGGAACAAGGTTTAGTTAGAGGCAGAAATCCATGGAACAGGCAACAACCAGTATTTGGCGTTGGTAATGGAGGATCACACAGACCTCTGCACAAAGGGCAACGGGTCTGTAAATTTTATGAAAGTGGGTACTGTAGAAAGGGGGCATCCTGTGATTACTTCCATCCATGATTTTGGATCTCATTAGCATTGGTCACATTTGATTTTTGTAATCCGTAACATATCTGAAGTTGACTCGTTCCACTCGTTGTAATTTAACCAGGCAATATTAGTCAAGTGTCAATTTTTTTATATGAACTATTCCGGGATAGTTTACCTGTTTTTATGTGATTGCTAATTATCAATTTGTTTCCTTCCATTCTTTTTCTTCCTTTCTAACCCAAAAATTTCATTTTATTCTTATGATACCAAATTAGTATGGGTAAAATATTGGATGTCAGCTGTCAAAATTTTCCTCAACAAATAGTTCGAGTTGTCAAATCAAATCTCAATAGCACTAATACATTCAGTTCTGAATGTAGTGGATAGCCTTGTCGGCCTCTGCAGGAGTCAGGTGAGTTGGTGACAATAGAAAACGACACAAAAAAGAAAGATAAGTAAACTGTTCTGGTGAGATATGTGAACTGGCATGGATTGCTTTACTGTTCTTGTTTCTTTTTCTCCTCTTGTATAGGAACTGCTCTATTCAGTTCAGTTTTTTAAGATCTAATTTTGATGCTATATTGCATATCTTTTATTATAGTGAAGAGATTGTTATGTTGAAAGAGTGGGCAGATTTCAAGACAGAATTAAAAATGAATGCATTAGAGTGAAAATTTGAGTAGCACATACTGTGAAAAAGACGTAAAGTCTCAAATTAGATGGTTTGGGCGTGTGTTGAAAATACACATAGAAGCCCTTGGAAGGAGAATAGGTTAGATTGTAAGTATTTGCGCAAGAGATAGAAGAGACTAGGAAAAATCTTAAGATCAAATCATTAAGAATGATTTGGATATAAATGGTCTGTAACTAGATATGATTAAGATATTATTACGCCTTTTAATCTAGTATTAAGAAACGGCTTCCATTATTGTTCTGTTTCATATATATTTATTTTTTTGATGATTTGATTTTTCCTGGTATATCACTCTAGGACAATGCATGTAAATGTATCAAGAACTGCTATGTTAAAAACTGTTAAAAGTGGCTGGTAAGGTAGGGAGTGTTACTCTATATAAACTCTTTCAATGCTCTGTCTCGAACCAATGGATAAAATGGTTTGTAAAATAAATTAATTAGTAACATTGTGATTTGTGATTGAACATCAGTTTGGTGTAAGTTTAGGTGATAATGAAATACAAATGTGGAAATCTTGACTGTTTATACTACTGTAATAACACATCGAGAATGTATTTGGTTTTGTGAATATCTCTTGCATGTTTAGCCCAAGTCTATGTTCTGCACCAAGTTATATTCTTTTCTTCGAAATGTAATTTATAAACATTAAAAGTACCACATTCGTTGCATTTGCATATATAGTTATGAAGATGAAAGTACTATTTGTAGGAGGCAATTCAACCATAATTGCTAATTCTGCAATGGTTTTTATTAAAACGAAATGAAGAAGGGACTTGATCAAGATAAGCAAGCTGGCTAAGCTGAAGTGATGGCTATTACTGGTGGTATGAATTCCTTAGTAACATGTGTTGTAAGTGTGTTTTGGAATGCATAAGTTCAAATTGACTCAATTTTGTCATGTATTTTATGTTTTCTACTTTTAAGCATTAAGCAGTCAATAGTATTAGCTTACCTAGCAATTCTTGTAGGACTTGGTGCTTTGGCTCCAATAATTGACACTTTGATCCTTTAATTGGAGCAAGTGGATATGCAGCTGCTGGAACTGTTGCTAGTTCTGCATCATTTTTAGGTATATTTGCCTTTATGTGATTGGATTTTTTATCATATTCTCACCATATATAAATGATTTTCACTCTACATAGCAATTTGAATGTGCCACTTGAGGATTTTGTCAGAACTACAAAGTTCATATTTTGTGTGTTGAGATTTGTATTCATTTTGGGGTTTTGGATTGGTCCTCAGTATGATGTTTTGTGCTACTTTACTGGTTACTTGTACATTTTTGTTGCTGCAATTCATTGATTTACATGTTTATAGCAGTTTACTGAATAATTTACATAACTGTCAGTCAAAATGGGAGGGGGGAACTCTCTGATTTTCCTTTTCATAACAGTTTTTACTATGGCTGTGCGAAGAATTTGTCTACGTAAAGAAAAGTCTGGAGGAGGATTCATTCCCATCAATACTTATGACCTCTTATCACTCTCTAATCTGCCTTTTCACAGCAGTTTTTACTAAAGGCAGTGCAAAGAGTTTTTCTTTTTGTAAAGAAAAGTCTGAAAGAGTGATTCATTCCTATCAACACTTATGTTCTGTTATCACTCTAATTTTCATTTTCATAACAGTTTTTACTAAGACTGTGCGAAGAAGTTGTCTTTAAGTTAAGAAAAGTCTCGAAGAGTGATTCATTCCCATCATTTCAGTTTTCATAATGTTACTATCAATTTCTTATTGGAGTTATGATCTATGTATGCTGGAGCACACTCTTCAACATTGTCTAACCTTGTTTCATCAAGCGCTATTTTTGTACTTATGTTCATTGTTTCAAATTAGATTCTTTTATAACTTCTGGTAGCAGAGACTGCAGATTGATATCTCAGTCTCTGGATTTGCAAGTTTGTTTTGGTTTCTGGCTTTTAGTACAACTTTGCAGAGTATAATTCAGTAGTGTTTATGGGTTCAGTATTGCTTTGATTTGCATTCTGAATGGCTGTTGAGCTGATAAAAGCAAGAAGCAGGCAACAATGACTGTCGCGAGTGCTTTATTAACCACGTTGATTGTAGCCAGGTAGCTTAAAATTTTTCAGATTGAACTCGTAGCTGAGAAATAATAGCTGTTGCTATATGATTACGAACATATGGATTTCTATGATGAAACGTCATTCAACCGAAAACATGCACTTTTTGTGCTGAGTGTAAATAAATAAACCCCCATTGTCTACCGTGAAAAGTAGTATATAACAGTAAAAAAGGCATATCAAATGTACAAACACAATGCGTTTAATATAGAAACAAAATTCTGAGGTAAAGTGCAACTTTCCGAGCATCTTTTTCAATACCTGACAAGTAAAGGTTTGGAAGAGCAGAAGAAGAGCCCCTTGAGATCAAAACAGGAAAATGCTAAAGCAGAAAGTTGAATAGAACGTTAGCCAAAAATATTCTAGCTAATTATTAGCAAGTTTTAGTTTACAAAAATAATTTTGGGCTCTTTCCAACATTGACCGATTAATGATAGTTTCTTGAGGAGTAAATAATTGATTATGTTTGGATTGATGAAACATTATTGAGCCTAGGGGAATAGAATATAACATAATGGTGCAGAGTGAAATATAGATTGTAACTCATTATTTGGTTATTTTATTATACATGTTTTATTTCATCACACACTTCAAATTGAATGGAATAAATAATTGTTTTATTTCATCACACACTTCAAATTGAATGAATAAAAAATAGGGAATTTAATGGAATGAATTCTATCATGTTCTATTTATTATTTGCAAATTCAACCAATGAGATTTTGTTAATTACCACTTTATTCCACTCAAATTCATCCTATACCACTAATTCAAATATCTTTTTAAAATTTGAGAATTTGGAGGGGAGGGGAAGATAGACTTTGAAAAATCTTTTTTCTTAAATATAGAGAAATTTTTAATGTTTTTTGGAAAAAATTTTTTGTATAAAATTTGTTTATTATCAACATATTTTTTATTTTTGGAATAGTCGAAAATTATAAATTACATTTAAACAATTTGTCCAACTCTCCATCTAAACTCCTCTTCTAATATAATTTTTTAATTTTCTCAAATTAGAAGAATTATGGTTTTTGAATAAAAATAAATTTCTCAAAGTCCTCCTCACTTAAATCCTTATATTATTTTTATTCAATTCTTTTTTTTTCAAAGGCCTTCATTTTCTTCTAAACTCTCAAACAAATAAAGTTATTATTGATGATGTATAATTTTTTCATTACAGGGTAATATGTAGTTCTTGTTAGCAATATATATTCTTATACAAAGAGAGAAAATGGGAAGAAAGATGTAGGAAAGTTTTAATAATGTGAATATCAATTTTTATGAATACAAGGGTTATTAAAATAGTATTCCTTCCATATGTGTTAAGAAAGTTAAAACATAATAATTTGAAGTATGATTGTTAGTATTTAAAAAAAATATAAACTCTACAGAAAATATAAAAATAATTTGTATTAATTATTGATTTAAAAGAAAAAAATTAAATACAATTAATATTAAATTTCAAAAAAATGTAAAAGTTATTTTTGAAAAAGATATAATAAAATAAAATAATTTTTTTTTTATATTATAATTTAAGACAAAAATATGAATTTACTTGCTTATAGATTAAGAAGGAAGAAATATATAATAATAATAATAATAAAAAAAAAAGAGTAATAGATTATTTAAACATATTATGTAACATCAAGCTTTGAGAAGAATGTTCACGTTTTGTTGAAGTGTCTGCTTGTCTTTTGTTGCTTTGGCACCTTGCTTACCGGTTTATTCGTGTTCCCACTTTTTGCATCAAGTCTTCTCCCGTCTCCTTTCATGTTTGTTGTCGGCCCAACAAGATGGATTTTAAAACGAGGCATTTTAAGTTAAAAGTAATTTTTAGAGTTTTTTCCCATAAATCTTTTCATTTGTTCTATAAAAGTACTAAATTTGTAGATCAACCCATTAACTCATATTAATGATGTGTTTATTACTCATCTGACTTCTCAATTTAGAACTCATATTTTTACGATCCTTAATTCACAACTTGCTAATTTGCTTGTGATAGAAAGAATATTAAACAATTTATAATAAAAATAAAATATTTTATTCAAATCTTGAGAATATATTAGCCATCTTCTTTAACGTTTTTTTTTGTTTGATAAATTTTTAATATAAAATAAGGAAGAAAAATGTCTTGATGATTCATCCTTAAAAAAATCTATATTAATAACTTTAAGAGAATCTTTTTTTACTAATAAATCTCTCAAACTAGTACTAGTTTTTGTCCGCTGACTTGAATCACATATATTTTTAGCTGTT